TAATTAGGCATGTCAGTTAAAATACAATACTAAAAGGATATGAAAGCTAATATGATTGTTAAACAAGCTTTATTTGTGTTATAACTGCAAAATATTTCCATATATATTACATTTTCATGGGAGAAAGAAAGAAAGAAAAAAGAAAGAAAGAAAGAAAGAAAGAAAGAAAAAAGACTGTAGATTTAAAAATTATAATTGTTGTGTTATAATTATAATTGTTGTGTGCTTAAGAAAGAAAAAAAAGATAGATAATTTCTTTATATTTCAAATTATTATAACTATTGTGGTTTAGTAAAATTTAAATGCTGCATTATTTAAAAAAAAAATTAAACTGCTGGCAATATTGGCTTCAAATTTAAAAGAATAATAAAAATTCATTTATAGCAATAAATTAATATAATTTGTCAAAATAACAAAGTGACATATTTGCAAAAAAAAGCTTATATTAATATTTAAACAACACCGATTACATAATATTTGGTTAAAGACTCCAGATTTTCAATCACAACATTAAATTGTCAAGAAAGGACTATATCTAAATGACAAACAGCCAAAAATAACAATAATACCCATGAAGGTTCAATGTTACTCTAAAAATGCATTTCTGTAAACTCATTTCTAACCCACAGCATGGCTTTTCAGTTTGAACTGAACAATTAAGTTATGGATGTGGACATAAAGCAGTAAAGATCAGCTCAAATGTTACTATATTATATCATGATGTAGGTGGTCTTAAGAAAAAAGGATCTGTCGGTTTTCATAGTGTGTTGGGGAATATAAAGTGCACGAGTTTTCTTAGCAGCCCTTTGAACACTTCAGACCAGTAAAACTCATATGCGCAATCGATCTGCATTTGTTTATTTGAGTAGCTGGCTGCTGAAGGGCCATGTGGTTCATTAAAAGCAATAAGAAAATACAAGAAAAGCCTGCACTTGCATAAAAAAGGAGCTTTGAATTGTGTATCTGCCACTGCTGCATATAGAAAACCGAAAGGCATGCCTGAATACTCGAAAAAACCTTTTGCTGGGTATTACTATCAAACTCATAAGCCGATTGAGACACACCAGGGCAGCGCTTTTCAGTAAAAGTGATTCCATGTAAAATATTGCAGCCTATCATTTTACTTCTGCATATTTTTAGGTTGAGTACATAATTCATTGTCTGTGTGGCAGACAGATTTATGTTGAAATGAAATTTTGTGGACTGAGAAGGACGATGCAGTCAATCACTGACGTTTAGAAGATAAAAATAAATATAAAAGACATCTGGAAAGTCACTAAAAGGGCTCTTCGCAATGTGATACGGTGGATCTCGGATAGTAAGATCAATTTATTTTCAATAAAGCAGGAGACACTCTCATTTCTCAGTGTTCGACGATTATAATTCTCTGCCCTTCCTTGTCATTTAATCTAACGATCGCAAATTGATTGGCAAATCATCCGGGTCCTGATAAGTGTGTTGGAGTTTTCCCTCCCACTGGATATAGGCCGACGTCTAGCTGTCCCCTCACTGTTAGCCTAGCGCTATTTAAATATCATGTCGCGTTTACAGTAATCTGGCCCTAATTAAAATGTATAGTCTGACAGAGTGCAGTATCGGCACATTCTGTGCGTCTCGCACGGCAGAGAGCGAATAGTTAATGAACGTTACGCTGAATTGAGCTTTGGAGAGAGGGAGAGAGGAGAAGCCGTGGCCAAAAAAATGTAGATTGAAAATTCTGCCTTTGCTGGATATGTGGCTATATAAACTTTTCTGACCAAATAAATTATAATGTAATACTTTTTAACTAATATTTACAGAATACAATGTCAAAAAATATTAACAAAACAATAGTTTATGTACCAAAAAGGCCTTCTTAGAACATTCGATGGCATTTAAGACAGATTTAAGATTTTATAGATTTAGGATCACAGTGCAGCAACAAATACATTAGGCTACATGGCTTTTTTTTTTTATTGTTTTTTATTGTTAGAAAACATTATAATATTAAGCCAAGATCATGTTCCATGAAGACATTTACCAATTTCCTACTCTAAATACAGTAAATACAGTTCTTTTTTTTATATTTCCCAAATAATGTTTAACAGAGCAAGGAAATTTTCATAGTATGTCTGATAATATATATTGTTTTTCTTCTGAAAAAAAAAATAATAATTTGTTTTATTTTGGCTAGAATAAAAGCAGTTTATTTTTTATTTATTTATTTTTTTTTAGATATTTTTAAAAACATTTTAAGGTCAAAATTATTAGCCCCATAAAGCTACTTCCCCCCCCCCCCGAAAGTCTACAGAACAAACCCTCGTTATACAATAACTTAATTACCCTAACCTGCCTAGTTAACCTAATTAACCTAGTTAAGCCTTTAAATGTCACTTTAAGCTGTATAGAAGTGTCTTGAAAAATATCTAATAAAATAGTATGTACTGTCATTATGGCAAAGATTGAATAATTAGAAATAAGTTTTTTTTTTTTTTTTTTTAATAAAATATTCTCTCTGTTAAACAGAAATTGGGGAAAAATAAACAATGGACTAATAATTCAGGGAGGTTAATTATTCTGACTTTAACTGTATATCACTTACATAGCACTTAATTTGCAATTTTCTCAGTATTTTATGTTATTTGTTTAATAAAATGTATAAGCACTCATATTCCTTATATAAAATATTATATCTCAGCCAAAAATGTTGCTTTATCCTAACAAAGTAAACATCAATGTAAAGCTAGTTCATGCAGCTTTCAGATGATGCATACTCAGTTTTGTATTTATTTATTTTATTTGTTTTTAGTCCAGGCTTACAATTTTCATTTAAAATCTTTAAACTTTGCCATTATGCTTTAAACCTCTAGCCTACATGCGATTTTCAGTATCTGGAGTCTTTATTAGTTAAAATGTAATAATAAATATGTTGTTTCATTTTCACATATATGTTAAGCTGAATGACCATTGAACCTAATTTAATTTTTATGTTTATTTTCACACACACACACAATACCTGAAACACTTTCTGTTTTTTTTTTTTTTTTTTTTAATACACTTTATATACATTTAATTTGATGCATACAACAAAATCGTAAGTCTCATTGTTGACCCGTTTTCATTCATTTTGCCTTATTACAAAAAAGCGGTCTACATATCTTCTTGAAAATCTCTAAAGCTTTCTTGAATTTGTTGTACATTATTCGACATGACGTTATTGGAAAACTGTTTTAAAGCAGTTAACTTAGAAAGTGCTTTCATTAAAAACACAGCGAATGTCAAGACACAGGGAAGAAAGGCAGCTGTCTTTGGTTTTCAAAAACAGGATGAAAAAATAAAGCGAGGTTCCCTGAAGTTTGCCTCACCCACCTCAACTGACAATAGAGAACATCTGGATAAATTATTTACATCTTTTTGTGGATGTGAAATTATAATAGGAGAAATAAGCACAGTTTAAAATAAATTAATATGTGTGTGTGTGAGATAAAGTCTTGAATTCATTAGATCTGGTTCAATTATTTATTTTAAGACATCGCTTCTACTAACACTCTACAGTAGGTGGGAAAAAAATAATAAACAAATCAGTTTAAAATTGAGGTTCCTTAATGCCATTAAACTTTGTCTTCATTGAATATTCACATTCCAAAAAAGTCATTTTAGTTAATTAATTAATAATAATAATAATAATAATAATAATAATAATTTAAATATTTTGTTTACTTGTATTCATTTTTTTTTTTTTGCGAAGTTTCCATTCAACAAAATGTATACTCACTTCTTGAAAAATCAAGGAAGTAGGCAAATCTTAGTTCTGCAGTAGAAGATGAAAGTGACCCTAGACTATCCACAGGAAAGGTTTTATCATGGCTTTGCCTGCTATGTTTATTTTTATTATGAATCACAAGGACCAAAGTTTCAGCTAAAATCTACTCTAAAGGAATAGTTCACGCAAAATGTTCTGTCATCATTTACTCATAATTTACTCCACATGTTCCAAACCTGTTTGAGTTTCTTTCTTACGTTTAACACAAAGGGAGATATGCCAAATAATCCTAACAGAAAAAGGGAAAAAAATGAGAAAAGCCATTGACTTCCATAGACAAAAGTTATTGAGGTTTTAAATCATATATTGAAATTTTCATTTTTTATTGGACTATATTTTTAATGTTCTACAGTTTTAAAATTTGTCCAAGGGTGAGTAAATCAGCAAATCATAATAATATTGTGTGCAGTATCCCTTTAAGACAGGCCCATAGCCAGCCTATTGAAAGGGGTGGTTCTTTTTTTCTAAAAAAAAACCTTTTTGCAGTTATTCAAAACAAGCTGGCCTGCTCATTTAATTTTCCTCAGTCATACTTTGGCTACTTGAATAATAAAAATGTAATTTGTCTTAAAGCCTTCTTTTACTAATCATTTTCACAATGTATGATGGCATAGCAATCGAAAATTGGATAAATGGGCTCATTTAGGGGTCATTTTCTGGACTTTGTCTGTGGGGGGTGAGTCTTTCGCCACCTCACAAAGCTGAATTTATATTCATTTAAATTACAGTTGACTACATCCAATGAAAAAAGTGTTACATACGTCTAAATAATAAAAAAAAAAAAAAAATATATATATATATATATATATATATATATATATATATATATATATATATATATATATATATATATATATATATATTACATAAATAAGTTTGTTTTTATTAATTTAAATTCCAATAAATTCCATTATTGCATGATCCATATTGTTGTAAGTAGGCTATTATATATACTGTAACATACAAGCACCGAGGGTAAATGGCGAAAACTGAAAACAGCCTATACAGTATCGACACAAAAAGCAAGCTCATCCTTAAACAGAGAAGGGGAAGTTAAAATGTAAGTGTCATTCCATCCCAGCCTGTAATCTCTTTACTCAGGACAGTGTGGGAGGACCGACCCACCGACACACACACACACACACACAGAGAGAGAGAGAGAGAGAGAGAGAGAGAGAGAGAGAGAGAGAGAGAGAGAGAGAGAGAGAGAGAGAGAGAGAGAACGGAGGTGTGCAGTGAACAGATCATTACCAGCGCAGTTTTCCTCTGTCAACATCTCTCGGAGATAAATCGGCGAACTCTTGTGTTTCGCTTCCACCAAGTATGATGATATGATACGCGGCGACGTGGATGTATTTTTCATGGTGCTTTTCTGCGAGTTTTCCGACTCTTGGAAAAAAGTGGATTTTGCAAATGTGAATTTGATGTCAATTTAACGTCGAAACGAGGGTTCCGCCGTGGAAAGGGCAGCAGAGGGAGTTGCTACGGCAAAAAAAGTAGAGAGCGCGGATACTGGGCTCTCCACACGGGGAGTCAGTATGATGTCCGCGGGCGGAGAGGAGCTCGGAAGCGACTCTGTAGAACAGTGTGCTGTGGGAATGCCGTTGGATTTACACGTTCCGTTCTATTCGCCGAGCGCTTGAAGAACACAGAGAGGTGCAAAAGTGTTCAGTGGGATTACATTATACGGATAAAATCATGTTTAATAAGGTAGGCTGATTTTGAGATATTTTGTTTCTTATGGACGAGCTTCACCCGTCAGAATTCAATAGTAGCCCGTTCATATCCAAATGGTAAAAGTGTTGCGCACGGATGTCAAGTTGAAAGTTCCATTGCTCTTTTGCAGTTTTCAGTCATTTCATCCAAAACTATTCAGCTGTGACTGTAGGGTTGTAGTTGTTTTGCCCGCACCAGCGTCAGCATCTCAAATAACATATTTAGTGTAAATAGCCTTGATAACTGAAGCGGTTTATCTAGTTAAACATCACTGCATGTCACAGCACCGTTTCTCATTTACTCGGCTCTCACTTACCAGTGATTATTCATTCACAACAGCTTCGCTGCTCTCTCAAGTTTACCTGATCCGACTCGAAATGTTCCCTGCGTTACAAACTTCTGTTGAAATAATGTATTTAAAACTTCACTCTTTTTTTATTTCGTATGTAAAATGCGTTTTTATGGATACACGATGCAGAAGCAACTCATATTATATATAGTGGTGAGATTTTCTCCGTAAAAAATATAGTGGGAACGTTTTTCAGCCATTAAGGCGCTCATATTAGCGCCTGCAAATTTCACCGTTCCTAACAGTATATTTGCTTACCTTTAAAAAGTAGCAAGCCGACACAAAATCTACTGTGTAAGACACATAATTGCTTACTGAACGGGATAAAATAGAAGACCAGAATGTAAAAAAGTCAGTAAATGTAGGCTTGCCATGTAGCCTAGTCTACAGTAGGCACAGAACAGACCCTTATATCTTACATGAGTGCAATGAACATTATATGTTGAAGTCAGAATAATTAACCCCTCTTAGATTGTTTTTTTTTTTCTTTTTTAATTTCCCAAAAGATGTTTAACAGATTTAGGAAATGTTCACAGTATGTCTAATATTTTTATTTTATTATTATTATTTTTTTTTTTTTTGGAGAAAGTTTTGTTTGTTTTATTTTCCATTGCCATTTTAAGGTCAAAATTATTAGCCCCTTTATGCTGTATTTTTTTCCCAACAGTCCACAGATCAAACCATCATTGTCTTGCCTGATTACCCTAACCTACCTAGTTAAGCCTTTAAACGTCACTTTGAGCTGCATAGAATTGTCTTGAAAATATATAAAAATAAAATAAATCAGTTATTAGAGATGAGTTATCAAAACTGTTATGTTTAGAAATGTGTTGAAAAATATTCCCTTGTCAAACAAAAATTGGGAAAAAAATAAATAAGGGGGCTATTAAATCAGGGGGGCGAAAAATTCTGACTACAACTGCATATGTATATGTAATACAATGTGATACTATACTATGTGATGCATTAGTTCTGGTAATGCCTTTTGAACCTATTCCCTTTTCACTGGAAATTACCAGGTGACTCCTATGAAATGTACTCACATGTGCATTTTTTTTTGTTGAAAAATCAAATATTATAGTATTTAAGGTCAATATGCATCTATTGTTAAGTAAATCATACTGAACACTTTAAAATGCCCAAATGCAAGTAGACACCTACCCAGTGGTTGAGCTTGTCCATTTTTAGCCATATTTGGTAATTGTTTCACTATATATATAAGACAAATTGCAATTAAAAAATATTGTAGCAAAAAATCATTTTAATAGCTACTATATATATATATATATATATATATATATATATATATATATATATATATATATATACATACACACACACACACACACAATCGTTTTCATTTTAAGTACTGTATTTTGCTGTATACCATATTGTTCTCTTGCTTATTAAGTTTAATATGATTTTAAACATTTTTTTATATCTATTTATCTAATAAAATAAATAAATAAATACATTTTTGCTTAATTTCTTATTTTTTATTATTATTATTATTATTTTATTTATTTATTTATTTTATTATTTTTACTTATTTAGATATTTAAATTACAACTGTCACTGGTTGTTTCTTTGTACAGATAAGTGTTCTCTTGTCAGGTATTGATTGGCTTAACTCTATTAACAAAGCAAATGGTCCAGGCCACAAAAACAAAAATCCAGTGCAATGATGTTTCCTGATGGCTCAAGATGTCAAGAAGTTTATTAACTTAGGCAATACATCAATTCAAACAAAACAAAAATAGTATTTTTGTATTATTGTATTGTATGTGCATAAATATTTTGCTGGGTTATTCAGCTACAACGTCAATGTTGTCTTATTTCACAAAATGTAAAAGTTGTGGAAAAAAAATAAAACATTGCCCTCAGCTATTTTTTTTCCATTCGATGTTTGTTAAAGGGCAGTAGAAGTATTATACAAAATTGTATGTTGTTTAAAACAATGCCAGTTTAGCTTTACGTTTTAACTCAAGTCACTCAGAAAAAAAAGATTATTGCAGTTTGAACTGTAGAATATTGTTATGATACCTTGAGCTAGCTTAAAATAAATAAATAAAATAAAGTAATATTGATCAGGTATTTGAGGTAGAGAGGCTAAATTATAACCAATACCATTTAATTTGACAGGCAACATTTATCACCCTGAGCAGTATAAGACACCCCCAGTCCCTCAACTTGTTAGAATGTTTTATTATCATTTTTATTATTATTATTATTATTATTATTATTATTATTATTAATTTATGTTTTTACTTTTTTTTTCCCTCAAGCTACACTCAAAGAAGACATATTCAATAATGCACAATGAGCATGCCATATAGTACTTATATTTCATAAGCAATATCCTTGTACAGTACTTGGGGAGACTATTAAAACAAACGTTGTACAGTATGAAACCATGTACCCTTTTTACATGTTTTTTTCATTTTTCACCTTTCCAAGATTTTAGGAGGTGGGGGAATGTGTTTCATATTTCAAGTTATGCTTTTGCGAGTTATTGATTGTCAATGCCTTTAAGTTTTCTGGATGGCTTTATTTCACAAGGTCTGTACAAACAGGAATGTGGATGTATTGGCTAAATGTGATTTTGTTGTGAAACCACACTTCATGCATTCAATATTTTTTTCCCCCCTTATTTTAAACAGGTCTCTAGAACCAAATGTCACATCTCCTGGAAGCAGCTTGGGCTGGGGCCCATCAGCACTTGACAGCAGGCCGGGAGGTGGACGATGTGGCTCAGTGCTTCAGCACCATCTGAGTCACACCCTGCTTGGGCCCGAGTGAGAGCAGTCAATGATCTGACTCCTCAGCATGGATGGCTTAAGTGAAAGAACCTATGTGCTCTAATGAGACCACCTTCTCTAGAGAAGGACTAGAAAATTATCAAGGGATTACTCCTCGGCTTGAATTCTTACATTTATCTGCAAACTGCACATTAGAATAATCTTTTAAAGGACATTTTGCTGGATTTTTACATTTCCATTTTACTCCCTTCAGCCACTGATTTTCCCTTGCCATTTCCTTTAACTTTTTTTTTCCATTATGGAGTTTCAAACTGGATTTTGGAATAATGATTGGACTTCATTTCTTCGCTTTTGGTTGACAGTTCTGTTGAGCTTGCATGTGCAGTTCAGCCCTGTCTCCTCCTGTCCAGAGGAGTGCCGCTGTGATAGAACATTTGTTTACTGTAATGAGAGGAGCCTGACGTCTGTGCCTCTGGGGGTGCAAGAGGGATACAAGACCCTCTTCCTCCACAACAATCAGATCAATAATGCCGGCTTTCCATTGGAGCTACACAATGTTGCCTCTGTAGAAACGGTTTACCTGTACGGGAATCAGCTGGATGAATTTCCCCTTAACCTTCCGAAGAATGTCCGAGTGTTGCATCTCCAGGAAAACAACATCCAGACCATTTCCAGGGCAGCACTTGCCCAGCTACACATGCTGGAGGAACTCCACCTGGATGACAACTCCATCTCAACTGTAGGGGTAGAGGAGGGGGCTTTTAGGGAGGCTCTCAGTCTCAAACTTCTTTTCCTCACCAAAAACCATCTAAGCAGTATCCCTATCGGATTACCTGCAGACCTAAAGGAGCTGCGTTTGGATGAGAATCGAATTGCAGACATTGACGAGGATGCCTTTCAGAATGTCACCACCCTGCAGCGACTGTTACTGGATGGAAACTTGCTTGAGGATGAGGCCATTGCTCCTGGTACCTTCCAGGATTTGGTCAATCTCAAAGAACTGTCCCTGGCACGCAACTCCCTCACCGCTCCACCACCATTGCTCCCTAGCGTATCCCTAACTAAGCTCAACCTGCAGGAAAACCAGATAGACACTATTGAAGTGACAGCCTTTGCTGGACTTAGTAAACTAGAAAAGCTAGATATCTCCAACAATCTGCTTCAAATTCTTCCACCAGGTGTCTTTGACGGCTTGAGAAGTCTGAGAATCCTTAATGCTAGAAACAACCTTTGGCGCTGCGATTGTAGCATTAAGTGGGTCATTGCATGGCTCAGGTCTCTGCCTTCTGCGATAAATGTCCGTGGGTTTACGTGCCAGAGTCCAGAAAGAGTGCGTGGTATGGTTATACGAGAGCTCACTTTAGATGCCATTGATTGCCCTGCAGGCACTGTTCTTCATCCCTGGCCAACTCATACATATCCATCTACATTACCGCCCCGCAGGACCAGCACCATCACCAAAACCACCTCTAGAACCACCCGCATCACCACCATTTCACCCACCGCTTTTTACCCAGCCTCCACCAACCCCACACCACCAGTGCCGCATTTCCCTCCCGGTCCCCTCCCACCCTACGAAGATCCCTTGAAAATCTCTTTTCATGTTGTTAACTCTACCTGCATTGATGTGAGCTGGGAGTCTTACTTCACTGTGACATCTTACAAGGTGACTTGGGTTAAGATGGGCCAAAGTTTGATGAGTGACATTACTCGAGAAAGAACAGTCCCTGGATACCAACGAAGGCTTAGTTTGTCAAATCTGGAGCCTAGATCCGTCTACCGCATCTGTGTGTATGTTTTGGATACTCTTAATACTTACAGACCGGGCGAGGATACTATCTGTTCTGAGGCTAAGACAAAATCCACATCCACATACTCTGAATCGGAGCAGGCTGCTCAGCAAGACAACACCTCCACACTTTTATTGGCTGGAGTGATAGGTGGGGCAGTGTTGGTGGTCTTAGTGACGCTTCTAAGCTTGTTTTGCTGGCACATGCACAAGAAAAGCAGATCGCCGTCGTCCAAATGGAAATACAACCGTGGCAGAAGAAAAGATGACTACTGTGAGGCCGGCACCAAAAAGGATAACTCCATCCTGGAAATGACTGAAACCAGCTTTCAGATAGTGTCGCTAAACAATGAGCAGCTTTTAAAAGGGGACTTCAGAATTCAGCCCATCTACACACCTAATGGAGGAATTGGCCTCCGAGACTGTCACCTTAGTAACAATAGCATAGCTTACTGCAAGAGCAGTAACGTTCCCAGTGTGGACTTCCTCCACACATGATGCTTTTCAATGGATGCTACAACCATTTGTTCAAAGAACATGTAGTTCAATATACTGTACATTACACGTATACATATAAATATATAAATATATATTTCCAGGTGCAGTCAACATGGTAATTTATACTGTGGACAAGTATGTGGAATTCTGCTATATTTTCTATTCTTAGTAAATATGAAATGGTTTTGTAATTTGTGAGGCTCAAAAGTGGCTTCACTCAAGGACACCACAGATGTTTTGTATAATCAAAGCACGTTGGCTACCTGCTACAAGTGCAGACCATAGGTTTTGCCTCTCAACCAGTTGAAGATGTTGCTAACCACACAACCAAAATATGCCCTTTTTGCTGAAATACAGCTACCCCTTCACATAACAGTAGTTACGATAACACAGTGGTCAGGAAACCAAAACACCGCTGATTAAGCTGCAGTAGAAAAAAAGGAGCCGGGTTTTTTTTATTATTATTGTTTTATTTTTTTGGAATTGAAGTGCACTTTCTTAATGCAGCAGACAGCATGAGCAGTCATTCAGGAAATGAGCTTTTGTGGAAATCACATTTGAAGGGAAAAGGGACCACTCTACAAAACCGTGCAGTTCCACTATGAGAGGTCTGTGAATGCAGTAGGGAGATGGCCTGAAAGGTTCCTGTGCAAGCATTTTCCAGGGCATATTTATGTTTGATTTTGGCCACAAGGGGGCAGCTTGTTTCAGTCTATACAAGAGGATAACAGCTTAAATGGACTACAAACACTCTCCTGTGGTAAATCCATGACTTTTATGGGAATAGCTTTTGTGCTTGAGCCTTAATTTCAAGCAATTAGCAGCCCAAACATAAAATGAGGTAATGCAAGAGCTAAACCACTGAGGTAAACTATTAATATCCTGAGGGAGCTCTGTAAGCTCCTTCATGTTTGTTCTAATTATTAATCATTGAAAATTTGAAAACAGCGCAATCTCAAACTTCAAATCTGTAATTCACTTCTGTATACTCTAATTGCCCTTTCTGAACATGTTCTGTGATTTACAAATTAAGCCAGGGCTTTACACCCAGTTTCTCCTCTTTGAATATTTCTGTTTTATCACACGAATGTGATCAGGGACATTTTACAGCGACATCCACATCATTGTCTAGCTTTTTCCTTTACTGACCAAAACCTCTTTGTAATCATGCATCTCATCAGGTGGGATGATGAATGGCCGTTTAAACAAAAAGCCTTCTTTTCAGAGAGAAGAACTGGCACATGCCGGATTCAGTCTTTGAAAGAGTTTCAGATCCCTGCATGACTGCAATTAGGACTATTTTTTTAATGGTGCACCAGTATTCCAGGATGGAGCCAAGTTTGGAATGCAGGCTTGCTGTGGAGAAGTATTTATCATGCGCTGTTACTCATAGACTTCATTTGCTTTGACAAGATTTCATTTTGAGAGCCGAGATCAAACCCCCACTGCATAATCCCTGGTCCAGGAAAGGGGGAAGAAAGGCAGGGGTTATTTTCACTTGGCAAGAGGGTTCTGGATTAGGGAGGGGGTTTGTAGTTCTAATGGTAGTCCTAATTGCCTGAGTTAACCCTTCATCTTGACATTAAGGGGACGTTTACACAACAAAGTTTTCAGCCAAAAACAGGATTTTTAAAAACTTTTTAAAAAAAGTTTTCCTGTTCGTTTACACTATAACATGGTTTAAAACATGAGTTGAAAACTGTTTCAAAGTGGAGGTTTTTGAATATGATGCTGTTGTCTTAACCATGCAAATACATGAAAAGAAAGTCTTTGCTCAGCAAACAATTTTGTCTTCAATAGATGTCTAATAGACATCAAAACGTAGACAGCTTGGCTAAAGCAAGGCTAAACTTAGGCTGTCAGGGAAAATCTAATAGACATCTAAGAATAGCCCAAAACTAGACTGGTCGTCAAACAGGCAGATTAGACAGACTTTAAATCTGTAGTCATTTTTTTTTTTTTTTTTTTTTTTTTGATGACTAGTCTAGTTTTGGCCTATTCTTAGACATCTATTAGAATTTCACTGACAGCCCAAAATTAGCCTTGTTTAAGCCAAGATGACTATGTTTAGACATCTATTAAAAAACAAAAATGCTTACTGGGTAAAAGCAATGACCTCACATGCATGCATAGTATGTGTTTAGAAGAGAGTAGATTAAAGGAAAGTGCAAACAAACATACACGATAATGAGTGAATATGTTGTAGTATTGTTTGTTTCTAAACAATTTTGTATCTCTCAAAAATGAAGGAAGGTGAACTGTAAGTGGGGCAGTACCTTTTAAAAGATACCTATCTGTACCCAGAGTCCACAGTGGTACCTCAAAGGTACATAATAGTATCGAATTGTACCTAAAAAGTACCTTTGAGGTACCATTATGGACCTTTTAGGTTCAAACCTTTTGAAATGGTACTGCCCCAGTGACAATGCATTGAGTGAGAGTGTATTGTTGTTCCCTAATGCTTCATTAGCAAAGTGTGGCTTTACTTCACAGTACAATCTAAAGTGATACACATAGAAAACTATACATAAGCTATGTTTCCATCCACTGTTTTTATGTGCATTTTGAAATATTGTTTAAAAAATGCTTGATGGAAATGCCAACATGCAAAAGATGTGCATAAAAAACACTTTTGAGTAGGATAAACAATTGAGTAGTGTAAACTTTTTTTATTAGATAAAAAAGTGCATAAACTATGATGGAAACACATTTACCTAGTAAATTCTAATATGTTAATCAAGAAAACCTATTTGATTTTATGACATTTGATATCTAAAATGTGCAAAATTAATGCAAAGACAGCATTAATGGAAAACCTATGAAGTGACCACATTGCTCAACATCTGAAATGCTGCTCTGGTCATTCTAACGTCAGCCAAAGTCAGCCATCAGTATCATTACCTCCTAGAGGTGTCTTGAGTGACTGATCTCAAAGAAATGAATCAGGCCTCCAAAAGCGTCCGCAGTAGCCAGCCTATTAAAAGGGGTGCTTCTTTTTTTTTCTCGAAAGTGGACCTTATTTAAGTTATTAGCCTCAAATTATGAGGTTCAAATACTGTTAGTGACATTATATATATATATATATATATATATATATATATATATATATATATATATATATATATATATATATATATATATATAATTTATTTATTTATTTTTTTACAAATGTGCATTTAAACTGTAAGTTATTACAGTTTTGTATATAATGTAATGAGGTTAGACATTTAAAATATAAAAAAGAATAAAAAAGATACATACAGTATTGTATATATATATATATATATATATATATATATATATATATATATATATATATATATATATATATATATTGATATTTGGCATCCAGTTCAATTAGGAATTGACAATGTTCTCATTGATGGATACACTGCTTTATTTGCAAATGTTCAATGCCAAATTCCAGTTTTGCACAACTTTGGATGGAAACATAGATATTAAGCTGCAGACAGCAAGTAGACGCGTCCCTACAGATACTGTTTAACAAGGTAACAGCACCACATACTGACCTATTGCCCATTCTCACAGATATATACAGTTGAGGTCAGAATTATTAGCCCCCCATTGATTTATTCTTTTCTTTTTCTAATATTGCCCAAATGATAATTAACAGCAAGGTATTGCTCAGAGTATGTCTGAAATATATATATATATATATATATATATATATATATATATATATATATATATATATATATATATATATTTAACCTGCCTAGTTAACCTAATTAATCCAGTTGAGCCTTTAAATGTCACTTTAAGCTGTATAGAAAAATATAGCTGTCAAGATAGATGTTTTGAAAAATATCTAGTAAAATATTATTTACTGTCATCATGGCAAATATAAAATAAATCAGTAATTAGAAATGAGTTATCAAAACTGTTATGTTTAGAAATGTGTTGAAAAATTGTTCTCTCAGTTAAACAGAAATTGGGTAAAAAATAAACAGGGCGGGTAATAATCCAGGGGGGCTAACTATGTATTGGATGGTTGTCTACACCTTCCCCAACCTTAAATCCATTCATTACAGTATTGTAGATTATTGCAGTAAGGGTGTTTCCTTATTGGGTGTTACAAGGTCCACTACGTATTGGACCAGGTCCATATCATTGTGATATAGACTGCATACAGGACATCTTTTTTTTTTTTTTTTTTTTTTTTTGGCAACATCTTTGTCATGTAAACGTACCTTAAGGTTCAGACTAGATTGCTGGATACTTGTTTACTTTCAGGTTGAAATTAGCTTACTGGCAATCAAACGGATTTCTTTGACTAATAGTTGGAGCTTGCACAGGTTAACAACCAACCAAGGTTTATCTCAGTGGGACAAACTGTTCTCTAAAAGGAAAAAAAAAAAAAAAAAAAAGGGCTACTGCACTTCTATGGTCTTGAAAGTATTTAGCATCCCTGCAGGCTACTTCAACCATACCATCCCTACTTTCCTGGAACATCCCTGTGCTCTGTTTCTCATCTGAAGGGTTTTAACTGATGTGTACACCATTAACAATTTATTTCAAATCCTGTGGCCACCCGTAACTCTTTTTTACAGACTTCCTCCACACAAGTCCTGTGCGGTTGTCAGGCTCAGGTTCCCCAAGAGGAGGCGGTTGCGGTGGCAAATGAATCGCTGCAAAGTTAACCCGTTAGTAAGATAAATCTATCCCAAGCCTCTCTCTTTGACATTATTTCATATCGAGAAAACTAATAGTGGGCTAAGCAGAATAACTTATTTGTGCCACTATCCAGTACATCACTTGTAGTCCTCGAAGCTAGCGTGGAGGGTTTTTGCTGGGTCATTACCAAAACCAGAAATGCTTCATCCTAAACACGGTTTCATCCTAACGATTTTTATCTATTGCCTTACTGTAACCCAGCAGTATGTCTTAATGCGGTTCATTTGACGTTTATTTTGTGAATTACAGCAGAGAATCGCACGTTTTGAAAGCAGGACTGAATGGGAAGCACACATTTTGAAGGGCAATTGCAAAAAGCATCCTGACAGACATCCGTACATGACATTGCTAACAAGCCAAGGTCTATCTTCCAGACAAGAATGGCGTGCTATGATTCAGAGTGACTCATTGCTTCGCTCGTGTGGCATACATTGTTCTTTATTTTCTACGGACGAGCTTGAAATCACAGTAGTGGCCCTGTAGCTGAATGGATGTATTACACAATAGGGACTGTGAGCAATGCCTTGTGTCCGTAATCCAACCTAACAGTCAATCGGTCTCTTGAAAAAGCACATTGATTTGGTTTGGAATAATTACTCTAACTGACTGTGAGGTCAGTCTGAACAAAGCACTACCACAAATGTGGCTGAATTCGTCTGTGATCTTTGTGTGTCCCTTGCATTCTTTTATTTTTTATTTAAAGTGATACATATGTTTTAAAAGTTTTCATCTTTCATCGTTTGGTCAATAAATATACCAATGCAGTGGTTCCCATTTCTAGTTGTCGGGTCTTTCTTATTTGACGCACAAGGATTGGTCCATGCCTCTCTCTCTCTCTCTTAAAAAGTTGATTTGAATAAGATGTGTTAAGTACGCTAAAAATATATATTTATTACGAGCTGAAACAACACGATTCTTGATTTTTTTTTTTTTTCGGTGGGCGGGGCAACTTAAATGATTTGTGTTCAATCCACTTAAATTTGTAAATTTGTACTTCATGTTGCTCCAACACAAATCAATTCTAGGAAACCCACAATTTCTTTTTACAGTGTAAAGAAAATATACAAAAAACCGAGGACTGGAATTGGGAACCACTGCACTGCAATGTTGGCACATTGGTTGACTGTAGTTTTACATTAGAGTTAAGCAAAATATAGCTGATTTGTGAATGAATCAATTACATAATGACTTTTACTAATGGCAACCAGAAAGCCATGACAAGTTGAGCAACAACCACAAACTGTCTGTGTGTGTGTGTTTTTTAAGCATTTT